TTCTGCGATCTCACCCTTTGCCCCACACACACCCCACCCTCACCCTGCCACTGCCCACTATAGATCCCCCCATAGCGCTGCTCTAACAGAGCCCTCCACAACCTGCCCCTTTTACCCCGTTCCCAGCTCCTGACAGTGTTCTATTGTGACATTTACTACAGGTCAAGTCAAAGAATTTAAATGGTTCTTCTCTTTTTGCTATTGCTTCATCTATACTGTGGTGCTATTTCGGTATCCTGAAATAGCTATCCCGCGTCTTAACAGCAAGCCTGTTATTTCTAAATATAAGGGGTTCGCGATTCCGACATCTCTGTAAACCTCACTCCATGGCTGTGTCTACAATGGCAAGTTATTCTGGAAAATCAGACGCTTTTCCGGAAAAGCTTGCCAGCTGTCTACACTGTCCGCTTGAATTTCTGCAAGAACACTGACAATCTCATGTAAGATTGTCAGTGTTCTTGCAGAAATTCAAGCGGACAGTGTAGACAGCTGGCAAGCTTTTCCACAAAAGCAAAAACTTGCCAGTCTAGACGCAGCCCTAGGGTTTATCCTGCCCCCCAAACAGAACTCCTTACCCAGACCTCTGGCCCCCAACAGCCCCACTCCTCACCCTGCCATTCCTCCACAGTCTCTTCCCCACCAAACTCCTCCTACACCCCACCCCCACTCTTATAAGTGATATTTGAGACTGGGGACTTGTCTAACTCGCACATTTTGTCTCCAAAAATAGGTTTTTTGGGACAAAAACCTCTTCGCATTCACATTACAGTGTGACAAATGTCATGACATATGGCCATTTTTGGTGAAAAAACTTCCAGCTTTGCAAGAGACTTTTGTCTCTGCACTGTCTCTGCAGCAGGGGTATCTTGCATAAGAAAGCCCTATGGCTAAAATGACCATCAGAGCTTTCTTGCACAAGAGAGCGTCCACACTGCCATGGACGCTGTTGCACAAAAGCACATCTTTTCCACAAAAGCACATAGCGGTGTGCACGTGCTCTTGTGGAAGACCTTTTGCACAAGAAGTCTTGCGCAAAATGGTTCTTATGCAAGAAGCCTGCAGTGTAGACGTAGCCTTCCAGTCTAGCTAAAACACCCAAGTTACCAAATAAATTACACCCTGCTTTCCTTTGCAAAGTGACTTATTGCAAGTTGAATTAATCAAGGACACATGGGTGGGAAAGCTGCAAATTAAACAAACTAGAAATGTGGTTGTAAGATTGAAGATCAAATTGGGCAAACTGTTCGCCTAAGGAATCTGAACCACGGGCTTTCACCCCCAATTATAAACTCGACATTGTTTCCTTGTAAATCAAATATACCATGAATTATCAAAATTAGAATCTGCACATTTGTTTGCCTTGTGAGTTAGATCCTTCTATATGTGGAAAATGTCTTGTTCTATTTTTAAGTCCTAACTAATGTGAAGTGCTTGGTCTAATCAAAGAACACAGGGAGTATGCCCTCCATGTTTGGAAGAGTATGTAAGCAGGGTCTGAATGAACTCTCCCATGACACTTAGTTGGGGAAGATGAGAGATTTCTGGAGCAAACTGTAATTTACATGAATGCACCTACTCTGCCTAGGTATCTAACAAACAGGAGCTGAGTAGTCCCAAGTGATCAGTTTTGGAAGGTGTTGGGTTATAAATCACTTTATTAAGCAGTGAAATGTTGTTGTCAATGTTGTCTTTATTGCGTAAGTAAAGGGGAGCAAAACTGTGCTTAACTTGTCCCAAATGAGGGCGTCACCTTCAGTTGAAATTAAGCCAGGGGTTCAAATGCAAGAGCCCTGTGAAATCAGAGAGGGGTAAGGACAGGTGTCTTAGCGAGGATGTGTGGCTGTGCTGTAAAGGTAACAGGTATGGCTTGATCATGTCTACACTGGGGAATTATTTCAAAATAACTCCCTTTATTTCAAAATAACAGGCTTGGTAGTGTGGACACTCGCCTTGGTATTTCAAAATAATGGGCTTGTTATTTCAAAATAATAACTCCTGCTTGTGAAGAGGAATAAGCTTATTTTGAAATAGTTATTTCAGGAGTTATTATTTTGAAATAACCTAAGGGTTTGAAAGAGCTGGCAATGGCGTGTGGTGGAACAGTGTCTCTGCCCAGCCTCAGAGCTGAATCATAGGGCTTGTCTACACTAGACAGTGGATCAGTGCTTCAGTGAGCAATCCACTGGTGGTTGATTTACTGTGGCATAGACAGGGCTTGACAAGCAGCGGTGAGCCCCGTTGGCC